TGTGTGTGTGTGTGTGTGTGTGTGTGTGTGTGTGTGTGTGTGTGTGTATGTGTGTGTGTGTGTGTGTGCACGCATGCACCCTTCACAAACATTCCACCACCGTACCGTCCGTCCGACCGCCGGCCGGCCTCGCACGAGAGCCACGCCGCCACCGCGGTTCAGTCCTGACGCCAGCCCTGAAGACTCACATTACACACACACACACACACACACACACACACACACGTACACACAAGACGTGTGTGCACAAAACACCACATTAACAAAACCCTCAGCAAGGCACAAACACACACACACACACACACACGTGCGCGGGGCACATGAGAGTGACTTAAGCACAAACTAGCACACTCGCTCAAATAAACAATATGCACTTTGCGGAACACACACACTTTTGTGCCGCAGACCACAGACATTGCATCCTGAAGTAGATCAAAGCTTTCTTCAGCAGTAAACACACACAAGGCTCTTCTCTGCTCTCTCATCCCCGCGGAGCCGTTTTGGTGAGGCAAGGCACAATTATGCCGATCTTCTTGAGAAACAACTCGTTACAACTGTCATTCACCATTGTTCGGGGGTTTCACCCTTTACCCGCTGGCTGACTCTCGGTGATTCACACTACTTCTCTTCCTTTCCTTTTAAACCTTCTCAATCCCTCTCATCTCTCCTTAACCCTGTCTCCAGCCTCCCTCCCACCCTGTTATTGAACGTCTACGCCAAATCAGTCACCCAACCACAGCCCTTCAGATCTTTTTCTTTGTTTCCCCCACCCCCTCTTGCAGTCTCTCCATCCTCCCTCTCGCCCTCTTCTTAACTGTCTGTCCATTGTTGAGGAGACAGTGGCGCAGACAAACAGGGAGAGAAGATATCCGCTGGTGTACCACAAGACTGGAGAGAAAGAATGGCAGAGAGACAGCAGAGGAGAGGAAGATACATAGACTGATATGAGGGTAAAGTTAATTACAGGGGACTGCCAATTGCCAATGACGGCAAAGTGATGGGTCTGTTTGCCTCACCACGGCATCCAAAAACATCACCAGCTCCCACCATGTTTATCCTCTGCAGCCACAAGACCACAGCTCCCATCAGCCATCACTGCAGACAGCTTAGATACAGAGGGGGTTACGGCTGGAGAACATGCCAGCAGTGTTTGCAGACATGGCTAATATGGATAAGTAGGTAACACTTTCAACCATTGTGTTTCCATTTGCGTTGATAGCAGCAAGTACATGTTGCCATTTGCTCATACAGTCAGAAAAAAAAACACACAGCAAAACATGAACAAAGGTAAAGGCACTTAGTTTTTATAGAGATTTTTTAACATTCCTCAGACTTTGAAAACGAATGTAAAAATGTTTTGGAAATAAACAAATGTCACAGTTAAAGACACTCTGTTGAGCGTTATGGCTCCGTTGGACACTGTGTATGTGTGTATTTGTCTAGCAAGATCATGAAGAGGAATTTATTCAAAACTTCTATTCATTCACATTCCTTCATTCTTCTGTTATATATGATTGTTTGATTATCTAAAACTTCACCCACAGTCTGATATGGCTTTTAGAGTCCCTAAAAATCAAAGACAATCATCAAAGGTTCAATACGTCTCCAACAGTTTCATATTTGCTACATGGCGCACATGGGACCTCCATGTTCACTGGACAGAGTTCGTTTGGAAAACAAAACCAGAGTTGACTCTCAGAAAGCTCCGATCTCAGTCCCCCATCCCTGGGCTGACTTGGCTTGTCCGCTCAAGCCCCTGCGCTGAGCTGTGGGAGACCCCAGAGGTGCGAAGGGCCTGAAAGAGACCTGCAGTGGGGCAGAAGATGATGAAATAGGAGAAGAGGAGGAGGTAGAAGAGGAAGAGGAAGGTTTGGGGAGGGTAAGGGGCGAGGCCCTGGTGGCGCTGTGAGGAGATGACTGGGTTGGTCTGGAGGGGGCTAGGACTGGGGACGCTGCGAGAGAGGGCAACCTGTGGACGGTGGCCAGGGCTGTAGGCGCAAGGAGTGGTGGAACACCCTGGTGGCAGCCAGCCAGGGGGCCGAGGCGGAGGGAGGCGTGTGTCGGGTAGCTACCCAGCAGGGCCAGATCCCTTCGCCCACCGGGGAAAGGAGGTGAGGAGGAGGCCGGTGAGGTGGGGGAGATCTGACGGAAGGATGCCCAAGACCAAGGAGGAAAGGGCATGGCGGAGGCCGGGGGCGACTGTAGGAGATGGGGGTCTAGCTCGCTTGCACAGTGAGAAAGGTGGGAGACCAGACGGGCTCCTACAGGGTCCGGGGACTCCCCGTCAAGAGAGCTGAGGTACCGCACCACCTCTCCAACGCACTCCCTAAAGCCCAAGGTCCTGTAGTCGACTGCCAGGGCCCTCGCATCAAAGTAACCTGAGAGAGAAAAAGAGAGCTTAGTCATACAATGAATAACAGTAATGGAATGCAGTTACTCATAAGAAATCAAATTACTGTACACGTCCAAAAAGAAAAGAAAGCTATAAAGTGAACTGTTTTGAACTCCGAAGTCTCACCTTTTCCTCCCATGGCATGTAGGAGTTTGAGGTGGTCCACAGTCATCTGCAGGATCTCTGCCTTCTCCAGCTTGGATGAGCCCTGCAAAGAAAATGAAGATTTTACTCAGTTGCATCAGATTTCATGTAGCCGGTTTCTTACTTCTGATGTTAAAGGAGAATGATGATAAATGATCGTGGATTTATGAGCGGCCACCTGTTTTTCAAAAGCACTGGGCACAAGCCTCCTGAGCTCTGACAGGCTGTGGTTGATCCGGTCTCTGCGCCTCTTCTCTATGATCTATGCAGCAAGAAGAGCAGAGGAACAGTCAGGACCAACCAAAGCGACAGGACTAAAAAGATTAAGATCCAAGGCTATAATCCACCCACCCCTCTTCTCTTCTTTCGGGCCAGAATCTGCGAGGCGCTGCCAGGGGA